TGGCTTCCTTGATTCTAGATGAATAACAACTTTACGGGAAAGGTCAGAATATATTTGCTCTCTATAAATGTAAACGTCTTAGTCTGAGATGTGCTAGAAAGAAAGCCAGAAGAGAGTTCTATTTAGTAGCAGAAAAGTATTAAGAAACAAATCGATTACCACCAGTACATTTCATCAGTCAATTATAAATTGAGAATTAGCTAATTTCCATTACCCAGTGAGTAAGGAGCCTGCTGAAAACAGGTGCCCCAGAGATCTGATGGCTTTAATGGAGCTCAGCCTAGCATATAACCGAGGGAAACACAAAGGCTGGGAGAATTTAGCTCCATAGAGCATGGCCTACGCGCAAGATAGGGCTGGAAAAAAAAAAAAAAAAGATAGGGCTGAGCTACTCAAGCGATTGAAACCAGGCATTTAGATCTTCCTCTTTCAGATGGCGTAACTAATGCCACAGAGACCCAAGCCTTGATCAGTACAATGAGTAAGAGAATTGAAGCTCAAAGATCATGGTGTGGTGGCACATGACTGTAATCTCAGCATTTGGGAGGCTGAGGCAGGAGGATCACCGCTAGTTTGAGGCCAGCCTGCACTACACATTGAGTTCAAGGCGAGTCTGAATTACATAGCAAGACTCTGTCTCAAAATAACAGAGAGAGAGAGGATATGAATTGAAGCTCAAAACTCAAATGCTTTGAAATTTGAGATGATTCCAGCCTTTTTCCCAGGAGAAAACCTGCTTTGCGCTATCTGTGTATCTGTGTGAATGTTAGAATTTGTGAAGGAAACAGACACAAAGGCTCAGATAAATCTACCCCGATGCTACTTTGTTTGCACCTATATAATACTGTACAAAGTGACAGAGCAAGTGAGGGTCTTCCCTGGAAGGATGCTCGGTGATTCTAGGGAGCCTTTGTTCTTAATGAACACATCCTTTTCTTCCAGAGATAGGACCTTGGTCATTCAAAGGAGAGAACAGGGAAATTCTACATGTGTGTCTCAACCACTATATGGAGAAGGAGGGGTGTGGATTTCAGGAGGTGCTTGATTTTGCTATCAAGGAAACATCTCAATTGAAATATTTCTTCCCAGGAAAGGTAGAATAGCAGAAAAGGAAGCCTGGCTCTGCTGTGCACGTCTTGCCCCTCTTCCCATCATTCCCTTGGGAGCTGGGCTCCATATTAGGTGATAAACATGCAGCAACCTGGCTCCCTCTGGGGTGTTGCCAAGCTCAGAAAAGTGCATCTGCATGTTGGGCTGTCCTCAAGCCCTGCCTGCAGGGAATGCTGATCCTGCCTGCCCTTACTCTTCCGTAGAGAAATGCTTACTGCTTAGAATTTCAAGTGCTGCATTTTGAGTCACAGAAAATCAGGACCCTTCCTTATACCCGGTGCCAACATTGGAAAGGAAAACTTGTTGGCTGAGCTAGAGACGTAATTTACGGAATGGAATGGGGCCTTTGCATTTATATGGGAAGAATCTGCCCTTTTATTAAACTGGCTCTGCATGGCCACACATGAGGGATGGCTTCTAAAAATCTCTTCTGAAATGGCTTGACAGAATTTAGGGTAGAACTGGTCTCCCGCGCTTGTAATAGTGCTTTCTTTTTCATCACTAATAGCCAGCTCTTGGAGAACGAGAGTATGGCTGTGGGATAGGGACCCAGGCCAGGTGTCAGGCCGCCTCTGACAGTGATGTGTACTCAGAAACAGTTGTTGGGAGAGCAGGCTGACACTGGGCCTGCTAAAGACTAGTTTGATACAAAATGTTAATTGAAAGTTATAATATATTTTATAATATAGCAATATATTTCATATTTAAAATAAACTGTTATGCTTTCTCCTATCATTAAAAAATAGCAAGCAGCACAGAGGCAAGATGCAAATTCATATCGAAGCTCATCCGAATTGGAACATAAACACTTCAGTCTCTGAGTCTGCCATGGAAATGTTTCCTCCGTTAACATCCTGTCACTTCCTTGTTCTCTTGTGGCCGGTGCAGAATGGAGAGCCTGGGACCAAAATCGAGTTGTTGCACCACCAAAAACCACATCTGACGAAGGTGGGTCTGTCCTGCTTGGGATTCAAAGACCAAATACAGCTTGGCAATGTCGCTTATTCCCTGTCCTTCTTGTGGTCAGCTGGATGTTGTCTCGTCCAATCAGATTCATACTGTTGGTTTTTTTGTTTTATTTTGTTTTGTTTTGGCCAAAAATGTCAGCATCTCTTTGGGGTCCTAACTACAGGTTGGTGATAAATTTTGTGCTTTTTCTCCACCAGCTTGGTTGGTCACGACGTCTCTTCTGTATGTCCAGGCCCAAGATCACAGCTACCAGAATACGTGTCTCAGGTGTGTAAACAACTGTCGCCGGGCACTTGGCACCTAGGGTTGGAGGTCATACGTTGAAGATTTGACAATGGTTTCATTCAGAGGGAACTCCAGTTCATGTGTAGGCATTTCCAGTAATGGTGTAAGACAAAAATATCACAGTTATATTTTTCTCTATCTGTATATCACTATATACCTTTGGACTGAGTACTTTCTAAGAAGCTGTGGTCTATTTCAGAAAAAAATCTACATCTTACTTGTCTGACAGGAGTTTAAAGTTAATTTCTATTCATGCAGCCTAGCACAAGTCTTCCTGCCACCACAGGCAGACAGTTAATATTGCTATCCCTGGAATAGCACTTTCTTAGTGGCACAAGTGACCCCATTCCCCAAATGTTTACTTTGGGGGCAGTGGAGGAAGAAGGGGCACCATTCAGAGTGTCATCAAGCCGACTGACTGCAGGGGGAGAGAAGGGGCTGTCCCAGGCCTACCAGGAAGTCACCAGGTAGCTGTCTAAGGTACTGAAACCAAACCACAGTCAACAGGGACAATAAAATGACTGCTAATGGACTCTCAATCTGCTTCTAGCAACTTTCCAGGAAGCAGAATGACTATATAAAACCGGGGACACATTTTAGGATTTAAAAGCAGTAAAAGAGTAATAACCTAGTGGTAGTGCAATGACTTCACAGTGTCTCAGATGGGGTCCTGTGATCATGACAAAGCCATTTGCTCTGAGAGGAAACACTGATTCCTAGTTGGAGGTACACTGTTTTTGGAATTACACTTGGAGGAGGAGGAGGGAGGTTCTGGAACTATACACTAATCCCATATTCCTCCCTGCTGATTCTGCGGCCCATTTGATATGTCAAAATTACTTTTTGGTAATTATGGACTGCATTCAAATGTAGCAGCAAAGTGTGGTCTAGCCGGTCAGTCTAGGCTGTTGTTGGTGACAATAGTGATGTCATTTTCCCCCTCTATTAAATACTTCATAATTAATAATATTAACATTACTTTCATTTTAAGTACAGAGAGATTGAGGTATGAGATCCAAAGATGTGGATCCAGATTTAATTTTTCTTTATTGTGATTTTGTAACCTACTTTTGTTCTTTTCCATGACTTATTCATAGAAAGTTGCTGAAAATGTAAGGGGGAAATCCTCAAATATGATAGTCTTTATTCTTCAATGACATTCCTTCTTGGCCTTTAGTAACCACAAGAACTTTCACTTGCTCAGCATTTTAGAATTTATTCTCCTGTGCGCAGTCTACAGCTACTAATTTATGAGGTTGTCAGACCACTGGTCCCTGCTGAGGTCAGACAGTCAGTGGTGACTCAGGGTGGGCCCCCTCTTGCTCTTTTGGATTGTATTAAGCATTTCTATAGATATGATGTCATGAAGTTATCTATTTTGAAGATGGCAAGAACAGTTCATAAACACTTTATGACAGTTTATTGATGATGATCACACATATGTGGCCTTTCATCCAAAGGTGCGGATACTTATTTGGACTTCAATCTAAGGAGGAGTGCGCTTCTAGTCTGGTATAATTTACCAACTGATGCTATGTCTCAAGTTCCACTGAGTTCAGTGGTCTTAAAGTATCACAGTACATCCCTGACTTTACAGTACATGAAGCTATAATATGGCTTAAGCGATGAGGGGGTGGCTCTGTATTTCTAATTCAAGTGTGTAGATAGCTTGGGGAATATTAGAGTGCTTTGACCTGCCACTGTGTCATCAGAAAGATTATAGGAGGGGCTCTGCCACTGGGCCAGCCTTCTAGGAGTGGGCAGAATTAAGTCAGTTCAGTACTAGAGTGAGGTTACCATAATTGTTTTTACATGTAGCCCATTGGGGTTTTTTTGTTTGTTTGTTTGTTTTGGTGAAGGGTCTTGGTCTTTTTTCCTTTTTTTCTGGTACCAGGAATCAAACTCACGCTCGCTGGGCAGAGCCTCATGCTTGCTAGGCAGGTGCTACATCACCAAGCTACATCCCCAGCCCATGTGGCCCGTTCTTGAGTAGATAAATAAACCTCCTCCACTACCAAACTTGCAAATTAGGTACAAGAAGGCATGGCATTAGAATCCTGTCTCTTTACCCCTCTCACTGTGATGCTGAGGTCAAAAGATGTAGGAAGAAAATCCAGGTGAGCTACACCCAGGATAATCAATACCTAGGTCATTAAGGGTTGATTGCATTTGCAAGAGAATTGTAACTTCCCCACATAAAGCTGAAATACTAGTACAGAGAAATAGCATCCCATTTACCATTACAGAATCAACATGCAGATTCAGTCACTTATTTTTTGAAGGGTGAGTATTCTTTTGCCAATGATTAAAAACCATTCATAGCTATTGCACTACCAATAGGTCAAGTCATGCTACAAATGCCCGTGTATCTCTGTGATGCCAGTGGCTACTGCTACCGGAAATAACTTCAACAACTGGTTGCTAACTTGGTCTTCAGTGTTCACCTAGCGAGAGCATCAATAATGGGCTAACGAATTATTCACAGACTATGATGGATAAATGATAGTCTGTGTACACTTTCAGGCAGGAGGAGCGGTGGGGGAATCTTTTTTTTTTTTGTCTTGTTTGAGACCAGGTTTTGCTATGCAGTTCAGGCTGTCCTTAAACTCACTTTGTAGCCTGGCCTGCCTCAAACTCTTAGCAATCCTCCTGCCTCAGCCTCCCAAGTGCTGGGATTACAGGTGTGCACCACTATGCCCAGTTGGTGGTGGAATCTTGCATGTCATTAATTGAAATGAAGACTAAATCCCTGTGTGTGCATTTGCCCATGGCCACACCCATACATCTGTGTGTGTGCACACATAGCACAGGGTACAGCAGAATGGAAGAGGCGAGCGGGTGTCAGTGACTGAGGGTGGAGGTTAAACGATCAGGATTGGTGTGCTCAGGCGGACCACTCAGTGGGCTTTGTGAAATGGAGTTAATGCCACAAGGAAACTGCATGACTATTTCATCTGTCTGTACATCTGTTCACACAGAAGCACCATTCTTGGAAAGAAAAGGAATAAAAGGAGGGGGGGATCTTTCAGACAATTAACAGTTAAAAGAACAAGTAAAAAAATAAAAAGCCAACAGCAGGTGTGGCATCTCTGGTGTGCAAAAAACAAAAACAAAAACAACTAATGAAACTGCTCCAGGGAATTATCAAGAGTAAACCATTAAGGAGATTGAAACTACAGCAGCAGCAGGCTGGGGTGCAGCTCAGTGGTAGAGCGCTTGCCTAGCAGGTGCGAGGCCCCAGCTTCCATCCCCAGCACTGCCAAACAAGCAAACAAAACACAACACAAAACAAAAGCAATAGCAAGACACAAGGAAGAGGTTAGCAAGGGACCAGGTCGTCCTGAAAGGGAGGCCTTCATTCTAGGTAGTGGTTGTCTACTTTGCAGGCCAGTGATACCCTCATCCCTAGAAGACCAGACCCGGTGCTGCAGAGGAGAAGCCTGCACAGCGAGGCACCACCTTGAGAATGTCCGTGACGTTTTGTTACAAAGCTAAGTCCAGGATGACAACCTGAGGCCAAAAACACCCTTTTGGATTACCCTAAACAGATGAAATATTCCACACAGTATCATGGACTTTCCAGAAACAGAGGTCAAAGACCTCAGAATGTGAACAGTGATGGCTAACATGATGGGCTTTGCATCACAAATGCAATGCGTGGTCAGATTATAGAGCAATGAGAAAGATTTTCAGTGCCTGTCACTATGCTCTGTCTTGATGTTTTTGGAGTCTCCTGGAGTTTGAGACATATGGGAATAATTTTTGCACCAAGATTAACATGGCATAGTAGGAACAGGCTGTGGATCTCTTTCTTCTTATCCTACCCACAAGGTTCCCTTTGGGGCCCTCTGTGCTCTCACGAGATTTCCCTTTGAGGTGACTTCAGATCAGGCAGAAGGGACTACACAGGCCACTCTATCCTTCTCCCAGCTCAGCAGCTCGCCGGTGAGCACTTGGCCATCTTGCACTCCTAATATCTGGGGCCCAAAACCTGTCATTGGGTGAATACAGCTCAGCAAACCCCAGACAACACCCCTATTCCCGGCCGTGTTATTGGGTCGCTCCTGTTCGTGCACGCTTCTGTCCCCTTCCCTCAAATATATATACCTGGGCATGTGGTCCATCAAAACACAGCTTGTTTGGGTGTAACAAGAAAAATCTGCAAGAGCTGTTATTTTTAGAAGCCTGCCTATCCCTCCAGAATGCCAACAATTTTCGCTCAGCATCCACTTCAAATCACACACAGTGCATATCCAGGGCAAAGCAACCTGCACTGTGTTGGAAGGGACCTGCCTCTTCGGTGAAGCTCAGAAGGTGGCTGTTACTAGCTAACTACCTGAACCGAACGCATCCCACATTCAGATTCAAGCCAACCGGACCCACGGTAGAGGCTGCCTACTGTGTGCAAGGAAAGGCACCAGGTCCCATTGTATTTGGGTTACGCTCAAACAAGAAAGGACCTGGACTGAACGTGGGATGTGCATGTGTATGTGCTTGTATGCACTTGCAAACACACAGGTTTATGTGGGTATTAACAGAGGATGGGAAATCTGGCTTTTTTTCAGTCTAAATTGGATATGTCTGTTTTGGCAAGTTGTGGGCAGCTCTCTTATTTTTGTCACCCAGAGGCTTCCTTAGACAACAAGAAAAGAGAAAGGTGTGCTGAGGTGCCCCAGCCTGACCCCACCCTCTCCCAGCGGCCCCTCTTCCAGGCTGGCCCCACAGCTGGCTGCCTCAGTACATCCCCTCCCCACCCCCATGTGAAGACCTGAGATTGAGCGTGGATTTCTGTTCTCCACCAACTGTGCAGCAAGGGCCCTGCCAGAGGCGTCGCTTCCTGTCATGTCCTCTTCCCGCTCCCAAGTAGAGGCACCTAAACAGAGATTAGATTTCTGGTTTCAAGGCATCTCGAACCAAGCACGCCAAATGAACGTGAGTTAGCTAATTCGCTGGGTCTTGCTTCTCTCCAGTCCCTGGTCTGAGAGTTCCACGGTGGCAAAGCGACCAGGAGAGAGTTGATTTGCATCTTAAGACCTATGGGTAACGCTTCTGGAGTGGGGAGTTTTATTTAGCAACTGCTTGAACTTGTGTACGGGGTCGGAAAGGAGGTGGAGCTGACCCCGATCGGGCTGTCGGAGACAGGGGCGTGGGTGGTCCCCACCGCCACGCTCACACCTCGGGCCTCCAGGATGGCAGTCAGGAGCTGCTGCTGCTGCTGGCGGAGGGTGTCTGCGATGAGCAGGGGCAGGGAATTGAAGCTGGCCGTGAGGTGCTCCAGCTTGGACTCTAGGCTGCCAATCTGTTTCTCCAGGTCCTCGCTGCGATCATTGAGTTCTGTGATTAGGTCATACATGACGTTCTGCATCTGTGCGGAGAGATGGGAGGGGACAGACAATCACAGCGGGGTCTGCTGTGGGAGACAGGAAGCTCCCGCTGCTTCACAGCAGGAGTGAGTGCACCCCAGCTGGGTCAGATGTGGCCAAGGAAGGACACACGGGTTACTTCCCCAAGACGGGAGGCACATTGTTTTTCTTGTTACAAAAGTAATTTTAATAGGAAATATGTATGTAGGGAAGGAAATGGCACCCTTTTTTCTTAAGAGAAGTGAGCTCTAACCCTGAGCTGTCAGTTCTCATGGCCTTTAACAACTAACGGGAGGGTGCCGAGGTGCAAAGGGCCAGCACCACAGACTTAGAATTAGGAGGCTGGGGTTCAGGTGGGAGTCCACAGCACACTATTAACGCACTCACTATCAGGCTACTTAACCTCTGACCACCTTGCTTCCTTATCAAATTGGAGTTAATAATAACTACACCTACTTATGAGTTATTGTCCCCCAACCCCTGCCATTTTCAACACAGCAGCCAGCATGTAAATGTCACTACCTCCTGAGGCAGGGCCCTTGGCCACAGTGAGCTGTCTTGCTGAGGCCCAGCCCTCCCCCTGCCTGGCCCATGTGCCACAGTTTGGGACATCCCCAAAGGATCTTCCACGTGGCTGAGGTCCTGGTTGATTGTACTGTAGTTCAGACTCTCCTCAGACCAGTTCTGCTTCCCACACTCTTGACAGGTGCCGTCTCGAGAGTGCGCCCCAGTTACCTTCTTGCATCCAACACCACCTCACCGTACCAGGGGCCCCACCTTTTACCAGCGCTCTGTGCCCGGACATCTTCAGATCTCCTGTGCTGATCTGCAGAATCCCAGTCTACGTGACAGCCTTATTTCTCCCAGCAAATTATCAAATGCTATTCTGGCTTTGTACCTCTAACTTGGGAAACAGATTCACAGGAGTCTTCACACTCACAGGTGTTTGGGAAGAAGGCTCTTGCGGTAGCAATGCACACAAGCCAGGCTGACAGTTGATGTCTCCCCACTCCGAGATACTAGGGAGCTTTGGCCTTTGGGGGATGGCCAGTGACAGCCTGATCCTATTTCACCTGAAACATCAGGTGACTCCAGCAGGAGCTGGAAACAATGGGTGCCCCGGGGGCCAAAGGGGCAGGACCTAAGGTGAGAAAAAGCAGGAGAGTAGAAGAGGGGAGAAAATGAGAAGCCAGAGAGGAACAGGAAGGGGGTACTGGAAACGTAGCAAAACCTTGCCAACCGGAATTCACTGGGCGGCTCTCCCATCAGCTCCGCCATTGCCAGAGGTGACTTTAGAAGTCAAAGTCTGTCCCTTGTTAATTAACATTCACAGAGCCGCCTCAAGGTGCATACTCTTCCCGGAATGCGTAAGACCACAGATTCCTCTTCCACAGGGCACCCTGCTGAGCTCTGGATTTGAGGTCCAGGACCTGGGCTTAGGCCCCAGCCCTGGCACTTGCCGACTGCCTGACCTTGAGACAGTCACTCTGATCCTTGGATCCTGGTTTCTTATTCTGTATTCATAATCAGTATTACCATTTGCAAAACCTTTAGCGTTTCCAAAGCACTTTTGCAGATATCATCTTATTTGATCACCTGAGCCTCAGATGGTAGGAATTTCTTTGACATTTCATTTGAAGAAATTGAAGCAATCAGGTAAAATACCCAAGCCCTCCCAGCTCTGTCACCATATAAAGTAGCTATTCAATCTAGAAAATAATATTGAGAGGCCACGTGCCACACTCCTCATCTGGGGAGGCACGAAGGGCAGGGGTGGGAGGGTGACGGGTTGGGAGGGCAAAACACAAAGAAAGAAAAGGGAGCTGGCGGTGTTCTGTTGCCTTCCCTGTTCCACTGCCTGTGACAGGATGCCAGCGGGAGCATGGGCCAATGTGAAATGTGCTAAGCTGCTGCCAGCATCTTGGGCAAATCTCCTGGGGGCAAGAGACAAAGACTGGAGGATGTCAGAGCTCATCTCCTCCCCCAGGTTTTGTGCCGTGTCCCCCACCCACCATGGCTCTGAGAATCTCCCCTTAACCCTTTGATGCACCTCTTTTTTTCCAGGTAACTTGCTCCCCCCTGGATACATGGTTGGCTCCTCCATCCAATTCATAGGTGCATTTTCCCAGCTCACTGGGATTTTTGCTCCACCCAATTAGCTCTGTTGGGTCCCTTCTCTCTGAGAGGTTGTGGGTGGCATTGCAGAAAGGTAGGCTTGAAAGTTGGGTGTACCTAATAAATATTCTTGGGGGAGTATCACCCACAACATGCATTGCTAGATGGGAAGGAAAGCACTGCCACTCCTAAAAGACTTGTATTGAGGAACCTCATTGGGCCATTTCTGAAGCTCACCAAGTGGGTTTCTAGCTCTGTAGTCTTTCCCCCAGCCCATGAACCTCTTCCTGGCCATAGCTGATCAGTCCAAAGGTGGGCACATGACCGACCCAAACTGGCCAATCAGCTCATCTCATCAGAGAATTTAGAAATAAGACCAATAAGAGGTGGATAGGGAGGAGAAGAATGACAGAGACAGAGAGAGAGAGACAAAGAGACAGAGAGAGAATAAGAATTGAGCCAGGCGCTTGACCAGGAGAGATGAGAGATGGTGCAAGAACACCTCCTGAGGCTTCCTGCATCCTATTCTAGCCAGTCCCTTCCTGCAGTCAGACCGCGTGTCTGCTCTGATGATGTGCCGGAAGGCGACTCCCTTATATCCTTAGAATGTGTTCCTCCATGAGACCCCAGGGTTCTCTCCTGCACACCAGTGTTCCATTCACATCCCGTCCTGCCTGCGCTCCCCCTCACTACCCCATGTGTGGGCACCCTGGCTCCCAGGAGCCCCGCACTCCACCTGAAACCTCCAAGGCACACAGGCTGTGAGCTTCTCCCCAACTGTGCTGAGCCACTTAGTCCCTGATTAAAGTCCCATGAGCCTAGGGGCCACTTTCTTTGGGTTCATCCCTCTATTGAACAAGGCACCTGCAGGTGGCCCAACAACCAGTAATTTCTGATTGCACCCTCTTTTCAAAGGGTGCTTAATTTGCCAGAGGGAGTTGCTCTTGCTTTCCTGGGGATCGGGTTCCATTATGATAATTGGCATCTGCTGGAATGTTCTGCCAGCCTGGCCCTGGGCTGTGCACTTGACCCTTGGGTTCTATCGGAAGCAATGAGGAGGGGGCCTTTCTGCAATGGTGCCAATTCTGCTCTGCCCACAGTGTGGCCTTCACTCCCTTCACCTAAGTAATTTGCAAGAGGAGCAAGTTTCTTTAAGTGCTTATGGCAGTTCAGCGCCAGAAACACAGAATGACAATGTGGAAGTGAGCCTTAAGCCCTTGGGCATCCAAAGGAGGCTTCTTTTTCTGGGATCTTCATGTTTGCCTCTTAAGAAGTAAAGGAACGCACCACTCCCCACACCAACCACCAATTTGGGGCTAGAAAATCAGGGCTGTAGGGATTGGAAGATGCAGGAAAATACACTTCCAATTATAGCAGCACACGGGAAGGGCCTTGTTAGGTGGAACCCAGGCTGTCAGCCCAGCTCTCGCCACCATTGGCCCTCATTAAGGTGCTTTGCCCCCGTGAAGCTCAGCTGGTCCTCAGGAGCTCCTTGGTGCACAGCTAATAAAACCACACGCTGAAAAGACCTAGTGGGACAGCTAATTAGTTCCAAGCAAGGACAACCCTGAGCCACTTAGCTTAAGAAACAAATGCCAAGTTTTAAACGACACACCATAGACTATAAACGTCAAAAACTCAAACCTTCTTTAAACCAAGATTATTTTTTTACCAAGGAGGAGCTGTTCTTCACTCTCCTGGTCCTGCACTGTGCACTGTGGACACAGCCAGGACGCAGCAGGAGCAGTGGTAAGGTCCGGTTCACTGCCTAGGAGCGCTAGAGTGCCTTCAGACTCTGCCCCTCACCTTGGAAAGGTCCACCAGAGTGTTGGCCTGGTCGCTCAGTTTCCTCTGTTCCATCTTCACGCTCCTCAGTCTGCGGGGAAGAGTTGGGACAGCCAGATCCTTCAAGTCCGTGTTAAGGGTTAGCCCCAGCGGCAGGCCCTACAGCCCTGTCATTTCTGCGTTAGACTTTAGCATGGGACCCGAACATGAGGAGCAGCTGAGAGATGCAAAGGGTTGTCAGGGCCCCGGGAGAGCAAACTGTTGTCTCCATACGTGCTCAACTTCAGTCTCTATTTACTTGCTATTCTCAGATCATGTTCCTGCTTCTTTCCTTTGTTTAGGCTGTGCTTCTACTATGAATGCCCTCTTCTCAACCTTCCAGTGTTTCCCCAACCCTCTGGGTCAGAATGAATGTTTTCACCCTTTGCTTCTTTACTGCACTTAAAAAAAAAAAAAAATGTATTCTGAGCTGGGCATGGCATTGCATGTCTGTAATCGAAGCAATCTGGGAGGCTAAGGCAAGAGGATTACAAGTTCAAGCTCAGCCTCAGTGAGATCCTGTCTCAAAATTTTTGAGTTAAAAACAAAAGTGCTGATGATTTAGCTCAGTGAGGGCCCTGAGTTCCATCCCTATGACCACCACACAGGCAGCCCCCCAAATCATATTCTATCGCAGAAGGTACTCTTGAGTTGCAGTACATAGGAGGTGTGAGTGCATGTATACGTGTGTGTGTGTGTGTGTGTGTGTGTGTGTATGTGTGTGTGTATACATACAAGGCCCCTTAGAGACTCTTGCTCTCATTTTTATCTTTCATAGCAGCCTGCCCATAGCCCGGAAGGTGCAGTAAGGGAATAAGCAGACTGGCTTGGGCCCAGTTCCCCACCCCAGTCCCGTGGGTTGGAACAGAGTGGATTTCTTCTGTGCCTCCTAGGTATTTGAGGAGCCCCTCCCCCTAGTCTAGTCTGACGGTCGAGCCGCTTGGATACTCACTGGTGGATAGCTTGGAGGAACTTCCTCTGGTGCTTCCTGACTTTGGCATGGTCAATCTTCTTTAGCAGCTTTGTGTGTTTATAGATTAGCCATGTTTCCCGAAGGACATTGGCTGCAGCATTCTTGATCTAAGGAATAAAATGAAGCAGGCTGCTATCAGGTGCATTCCCCTAGGTCTACCGTACTGTTTTTCCTGTTTGTTGCTGTCATCTACCTCCTACGAAGACAATTCTGCAGTGATCTATTTTCTTAATCAAGATCACGGAACTCTGAGAAAAGATGATTAAAATTCGTCTCTCGTTAATCCTGTACTGGACACAGTAGACTGGAGCTTGGAGTTGAAAGGCATTTCTTCTCGCCTTCTTAATTATTTCAGTACTGCTTCTCAACTGCTGTTGCCAATGCTATATTTAGACAGGCTGCCTTAGCAAGACCTTGAGGCCTGGGGTACCCTGTGAATAGATAAACATATGCCCTCGAAGCCCTCACAGGCAGAGTGCCACACCTCACCTGAGACTTTCTTTTAACGTATGTGGTACATTTTTTGAATTCAGTGAGTAAACAGATTTCTTATGAGCTGGAGATTTTAAAAAGCCGCTTTGAGGAAATATCTTTTCCACTGATTGGAACGATAGGTACCAAATCCATTTCTTCCTTTCCAAAATGGCCAAAAACATTTACAATGCCATTCTGCATGTAAATGTGATCAGCATAAAACTGAGATAATTTCAAAGCAGTGTCTAAAAATCAGCGAGGATGTTAAGGTGTGAACTGGGAGCTGCCTCTTCCCCAAGGCTGGCTCCTTCAACGCAGACTGCAGTCACGCATTTTCACATATGACGCTGTCATCTGTTGACATGGAAACCACTGATATCACCCTGCTCTCGACTGAGCTGAGACATATCGATGGCATCCAGATGGCAGGGGACAAAGTTTTAATCCAAACACAGACATCTTCAGCAATTAGTAGCGAGAGCAAGATAAAACATTCCTTATTAAGCATAAGCTCAACAGATTTTTGATTAACCATCTCCATTTCTGTCAGCTATGCACACTGGCTCAGGTCCACGGGCCCAGGGCCTGGAAGTAAGAGGCCAGCCTAGTAGAAATCAGGTTACTAGCCAGAAAGGATTTTAATAAAATTGGAGAGCACAGACCTGCCTCTTCAGACTGACATCAACAGATGGGACTTTGTGCAAACGCTGCAGCGTGTGGGAAGGCCTAGGAAACATTGTTTTGCAGCCTGATAACTTTTGTGTGTGTGTTTCAAAAATTTATTGCGAAGGCTGGATTATATTTTTTCATTGGCGCTGAAGTGATGTTTTTAAAAGAACAGCTAAGTCTTCTCAAAAAAATGTCTAAATGACATAAATATTGCTTTTTTTTTGTTCAGTAAAACTCCAGAGCAAAAATGGTTTTAAATTATTTAATTGCCCACCTCTGATACTCTCCTGCTTGACAGGGAGCAGGCAGCGGTAAATAGAGGCTGGAGACGGTGGGTGTCAGGTAAGGAGGGGCAGGGCAGGGAGAGGGCGGCCTCCGGGACCCTGCCCACGCTGGAGGCACAGCAGCACCGAGCACATGTTAGTGCTGTGTCTCTGCAGGGACAGAGGGCGATGTGGTACGTGATCTCTACAGTTGCCCTAGGTGCTCGGTGACCACGGAAAGCCACCAAGAAAAGCAGGAGGGAAAAGCTCTGTCCTGGCCTTGGCCAAGACCAGTGGAGCCCCAGTTACTGGACTTGCCTCTTTGAACGTTGATAGAGCCATGGAATGTCAGCACCCACAGGTCTTTGACAATGGTCTCATGTCAGTGTGGGCCAAACATCTGAAGCGGGCAAATCAGCAGATTCTGCCAGTTATTGAGCAGTTTAGGAGCAGATGCTTAATTTTTCATAAGATGGGAAAAAAATACATCCTTACCGTAAGGGCTGCCAAGAGGCTCAAAAGAGGCTGTGGAGCTGGTGGTGAGGGCAACAACTGGCTTTCGCCAGGTGCCAGGCACAAGTCAGGTCCCAGGCTGTCCCATGCACATTCACAACCCACTGATGGACAGGGGTGAATCTCATCCCCATTTTACAGACAAAGAAACTGAGTCACACAGCAGGCCCAGTGAGCTAGGCAGGTGCTGTTTGTTTAATGACAGTGTTTGTGGAAGATTCTTTTGAACCACAGCCTGAACACAGGTCAGGAATAGGACATCCTCCAAGATGTTCCCTGAGCCAGAGACAACCCAAGACAACTTTGCTGTCACACAGCAAGGCCATACAATTATCAATGGCCAAGTGTGGATTTGACTGTTAAAGAAACTACAAAATGCCTAACAGATACTAGTTATTATCATCCAGCTCAATCCAGCATTCAAATTAGGGGGAAACTGCTTCAGAGATGGGATGCGGGGCCAGAATCACACAGCTAGCTAGTGGTCAAATCAAAACAAGAGCCAGGTCCAAGAGGTCCAGAAGGTTTTCCTGTGGCCTGAAGGAAGACGACCATATTTCATATTCAGAAACAAAATTATTTCCTGTTTTGGGGATCAAGGAATTGGAAAGGACATTAGATACTTTTTCGGTTGTTTTTGTTTTAAATCATCGTGGCCCTCACTTAGCAACACAATAGAACATGGAGTCTGTGTCCCACACCTAATTTCAGCCCAAACGCCAGATACTGCTTTCACAGCAGCCTGGCAGCCGAGAGGCGGCCCCATCATCTTTAGGGGTTTGAACGGCCGGCCCCTGTGCATTCAGGAAAGTGGTGTTAAATGCAAGCCTTTGCGCTGACTGAAATTAATTGCTAGCAAACAGCCTGGCACAAAGCTAAGTAGATCAATATCTGCACGAGAAAAAGAAACAGGCTTTTAACTGCACTCCCAGGTAGGCGGTAAATGCTATTGTGTCCACCCAGGGTCTCCCTTCGTTCACCTGGCTGATTACTCCGAGCATCACTGGGGGGTGGTGCCCTTCCCTGATGGGGCCTTGGGCACCTTCTGAGCGCTCCTGGGGGCACGGGCACTGGGCCCAAACGATGTTCCTGCCATGTGGGGGTGAGACAGCTCTTTCCCCATCGGCTTTCTCTAGAATTCACTGAGACTTATGAATGGACTGAGATAGCATCTCTCCCCGTGAACTCTGGCAGTTAGACTTGGGGTCATCTGTCAAGGACAGAAGATAGGCCAGGAGCCCTAGGGAGAGAAAGGTGGGCTTCTCCAGTGGGCAGGTCAAAGTGAGCTTGAACTGCAGCAGGCCAGAATGTTTCCAGTTGCATTTCAGTTAAGGGTGTGAAAGAATCTCTGGAAGTCCCGGTCCTGCCAGCTTTGAAAATCTGCTCTCTATACGAACCATGCCTTTTGCATTGTTTATTTCTCTGGGGGAAAAATTAGATACGAAAGGGCATTTCAACAGATTTCGGTGTTCTCAGCAAAGTGAGACGTTCTGCGATTAAAAAGGTAACTTGTGCTCGTGGATGAGCAATAAATTTTCTACAAGTAAGTAGACTTGAAGAGGGTTTTGGAGAATTATTTTTGAGAGATTGAAATTAGCAACCACAACCCCATCTCCTTCCACAGTTATGTTGTAGAAAAAAATTGTTTATTTTCCTAGCCTATGAGGGAGCTGGCTTTATTTTCCTCTGGTGTCTGATTTTCTGGTGAAAAACAGAGAGGACAAAGGAATAACATGAAGTACAAAGTATATTCTTGGTTTTAAAAAGCAAACAAGAAGAAAATGAAACTGTTAATGTCTCTGGTAAACAACTTCTGAGAAGGTTTTGGAGACAAAACCTCTCGCCCGGGGCTGGGGATTTAGCTCAGTGGCAAAGCGCCTGCCTGGCAAGTGCAAGGTCGTGAGTTCGGTTCCCGGTACCCGAGAAAAACCAAAAAAAAAAAAAAAACCTCTCGCCCCTTACTACTGCAGGCATTTTCGATCCCAGGCAATGCCATTAACTTCTTTCTGGATAACAGATGCAAGCGTTTTTGCATTGAGGTGTTCCAGCCACTTGCGGAATTCCTGCAGCCCTGGGCACGACTTTGGTGCGGTTAGTACCAAAAGCACACCAGAAGTGAAGAAGAGGGACTTGCCTGCAGGGTCAGTATGGAACCCGGCAGGCCTTACCCTGGTGACAGCATCAACTGTTGCCATCTTCATGCCTTAAAGGATGTTTTCCTTGTCGCTCAGGGGCGTCATGTACCTCAGACAAGCATTTGTATGTCAACAATATACGGTTCCTTTTCACATCAGTGGCGGCTCTTTAAAGAACTCAATAAATGTAATCAAAGACCAAACAATCAAACACCATAAATAATTCTGCTGAGAAACTGGAGAGGCCTTGGCAACTGCACATTCTCCCACTGCCTTCCCCAGGGCTCGCTCAGCACTCCTCACTCTCTGTTTTTGTTCTCCCTTCCTGCCTTTGTCTCTATTCTAACGCATTTTTTTTCCCCTGCTTTGCAACGTTAATCACTGAATATTTCTCTAGCTTTCAAAAGCCCAAAATGGAAATGTGGGGTTGCTTCAGAGTCCCTTCCCTCCGTGAGTCTCCAATGAGGAAGAGTGAGGATGGAGACGGGACCCCCGGCACAGCGCTGGGTTGTCTCTGGCTCAGGGAACATCTTGGAGGACGTCCTATTCCTGACCTGTGTTCAGGCTGTGGTTCAAAAGAATCTTCCACAAACACTGTCATTAAACAAACAGCTCCTGCCTAGCTCACTGGGCCTGCTGTTTATCCTCATCTAGGAAATGAGGCTTCTCTGCTCTGACAGTTCAGTGGGGTGTCAGGTAGTCAGCAGCTAAAGGAGCTCCCCATTCTTGCATATTTTCCATCTCTTATCCTCCTTAACCACTTTCACAAGGGTTTCTTCCAAGGGAGAAACGCTACCCTGAAAACACAAAAGGGGAAAATTGGATGATGACCTTTTGATGAACAACGATATTTAGGAATGTAGGCTCTACTGGAATGATCGTTTTAAATGTTTTGTTTGTTTGTTTGTTTGTTCAAGAAAAAGGATCAGACTTAGATACATTTCTAACACAGTTTTAAGACTCTCTTGCTCTTCCTACTGGGAATCATGAAAACATTTGAGCATACACAAAAATGTTGCATCATGCTGAGTGATTTATTTGGCACCATTAGGCAAGGGACGGGCCTTATCACTGTATACTATTGATCTAATTATCAGGAAATGATTTGGTTGCCTGAGCCATGCACAGCGATTTAATGGAAGACAGGAGCTCGGCATGGAGCTATGTGGTGTCCACGGCGTGGAAGCCTTTGCCTGTGGCTCCCTCAGTACTCCACCTACGGGTGAGGCCCTGCTCCGCAGCATGTGGCTGTCGTCTTTCTGACTGGCTTCCACTTTGGACAGAAGTCCCCCCTTGGAGATGCAGGTCTGTGACATCTTACCCGTTTGGTGAGCTGAGTGTCCATCATAAAGTTGTGAACATGCTTCTCTGCTTTCGTGAGTTCCAGCTTTCGAGCCACCACAGCCACCACAAGGGCAGTGCAACCTGCACCCTGCGGGAGGACATCAGAGGACCAGATGGGAAAGAAAGCACATCAGTAAGAGGCAAGGTGCAAACTCAGCGTGCCCCATGCCGTGGCGGCAACTCCTGGGAGTGGCACAGGGACACGGGCTCTGTGGTCGGTCAAGCCCAAGCCACACGGCTGTCAAAACTTGCTAAACTTGCAGAAGGGATCTGCAGTGGCTTGTGCCTCTCGCTAGTTCTTACCGCTGTATAGGGCTGAGACTTTGGGCATTAAACCAACAAAGAATCACAGGTCCCCTGCCAGGCTGAGTACAGCAGGAGCCAGAGGGTCCGGCACACACAGACTCTCCGTGCCTCAGTGTGGCCCAAGCCCACTGCCGGCTCCAGCTAATGCGCGCAGGAGGACAGCAGGCCGGGGATTGACTGCAGTATGGGCGCTGTACCTGTGGTAGATGGGTTTTCCTAAAAATAACCGCATGAAGAGGCACCACATTTCCCTCAAAGCTCATCTCCCACAGGGAACACTAGTTGCCACTCAACAACTGCCAGTGCCATTGCCAGATCTTTTTACCTGAAGGTCAAGGCTGTGACATAACACAGGAATTGGCTCTTTCTTGCATTCAACAAGGGGACTCATGAATTCACCACCATGCAGAAATTTTAAAGCTGATAACACTTCTGCTTAAAACCAGGACTTAACCCACAGACCTTTGGGAGTCCCTAGAATAACAATGCACAGGTAGGCTCCTTATAGGAGAGCATGGCAAAGGGCAGGCAAAGAAGCAGGGTTTGTCTGGCTGGCCCACCAAATGGCTGGGCTCAGGCTGTCTCCTAACCCTTTGGGGTACACTTAATCATGTGGGACACGTCGAGTGGAGGAGGGAAAGTGGCCCATTCTGACAGTCTCCATATGGCTATGCCCGTCCTCTTCCCCGGGCTTCTTGGCCTGTGAGCACTAGGGGAGGGAGACGATCGCTCCCGGGTTCTCCTTTGGGTAGTGGCAATCAGCCTTGGGCTTGGCAGGAGAGGACTCGCCTCTTCCTATACACAGGGACCACCCTGACTGCCCCTTATGAAAAGACAGGATGAATTTATTAAAGCCATCAGTGGGATCCTCTAGGCCAAGCAGTAGATTTTAACAGTAAAAGCACAGTGTGCAGTTGAGTAGCTTGAGAGCACCTTATTGAAGGAATCCATCAATAACACTGTTGTCACATCAGGCTTACAAAATGAGTGGAGGTGGACAAGAATCCTTTTTGAAGGTGCTGTAATCCACCACAGAGCTGGCAGGGATAGCTCAGGCCCCTGGTCTCTCCTTGACACTCTCTCTCTTTTCCCTTGGCTGACGAAGGCTGGCCTGCGTGCAGTTTTGGCATGGCTAAAGTTGACGAGGCTTTCTCCTAATTTTCCACAAGGGTTTCCATTAAAACAGTTGAGTGCTTCTTGGTACATTTTGTAGCCACCCATTTTGAGCACAGCAAGATGAAAAGAACTGGGTCTGTGTGAACTTTCCTTTTCTGACCTCATTTTCCTCTTTTGTTTGAGGAGGGCTGTGTTTTCTTGGCATCTATGACTTGCTGGAGACGCTGTGCCCAATTTTCAGAGGATATGGCCAGTTGGACAGCCTGGTCTATAGCTGTAATCAATTTAGCCAGGCCTCCAAAAGCAAAAAATAGCTTAAAAGAAGCTGTCCTGGAGGGAGGCTGTGTGCTCCCTTCCCCTCCACCAGGCCCAGGATCATCCCTCGCCTTTATATGGAGTTCCAAAAGTACATCGGGATGAAAGTCCAAAAAGAGGGGCAGATCATAGCGTTAAAAATGGAACATCCGATGGAGAGGGTTCTCCCCAGGCTCTGTTCTCCCTCATCTTCCTGCAAAACCTCACTTACGTCATCCCTGAAGGCTGGGGGTACAACAGCCAAATAGAGTCTCCCTCCTCACCTGTGCCCTTGGGAATTCGATCACCCACATCTTAAAATTCCAGGGTCTGAAAGGAGTTCTCTATGGTTCTGGGCATGGCCCACAGCCTACTGGTTGAACACAGGGGCTTCTAACTAGACGCTAGAGTGTCTGAACTAAAGATCCATCTATCTTCTACAAGAAAGACAAACTTCTGCATGGAGGCTGGAAGGTGGACCAGATTGTATCTCCCAACTTCTCTAAACTTAAAGATGTTGAGACACACTTGTGGCCATTTCTCTGGAGGATGCTGCCTTCTTGACCCCTAATTCCAACTTGAAGAGACAGCAGTGGATACTCTGAATTTGTTTTTCTTTTAGATAATCCCACATCTGTTTGTAATTAGGAAAAGCGCCAATAATGACCCCCAGCCAGGTCATTTCCCGTAACAAGCAACCTTGCAAAGACTTCAGCAACCTTCAGACAGTGGTGGGCAGTGTGAGAACCAGGCTTCTGGTCCTCAGAGTATGTGTAAGTGAAGGTGGGGTGTGGGGTGATGAAGAGACGAGAAGAGGGGAGAAGGAAAGGAAAGGCAAGAGAGGAGGGTACAGAGAGCGAGACAAGGAATGAGACGGGAAACACGTTATGTCACGTCCCAAACAGCAAAGGTCAGAAGATGGAGTAAGGAAAGAAGGGTGGGTTGATGGGAGTAAGAGAGGGAGAAAGGGAGAACAAGGAGCTTAGGATGAGCCAGAAGTGAACGGTTAGTTCCGGCTCTTTAAAGGGAATAAAGGAAGGGCCAGGGGGTTCCCCGGCCACAGTCTGCCACCTGTTGTGTTCATTCCTAAGTAGAATAAAGGTCACCTCCTTCTGTATTCCTTTTGGAATGATGGGCTTTTTTGCTTCAAGGACCTTATCTCTCTGACAGGGCCATGGCAGCTGCCTGGCAGCATTCGTGTGATGTGGCCAAGATGCAGTTTGATTTCCTGAAAGAAAGCGACGAGGACCTGGTAAATTGTAGCACGTGAGAGCTCATGCTGACCTCACATGGACCGTGTGCCACAGCTGGTGGACAGAGGAGCATGAGGAGAGGACAGGGTGGGACAGGAGGGGTAAGCAGCAGCTGGTGTGACTCCCACGGGGTCAGATTGGGGAGCACATCTGTGACTTGGCTTTTTACCCTTACTTATGCCAAATCTTGAATCACATTTGACACCAACTGGCCTCTCCGTGTCTGCTCTGCCTGATCCTATCCCTATGACGGGTATGGGGTGGGGTTAGGATGACCTCCAATACAGTCACCCTCAGTGTGGGGAGCAGGGGGCGCCGAGTGCATGGACAGCAGGTGTGTGACAGGGCTGAACATGCCTAAGGCAGCCACAGATCAAACCCAAACCTGGACCCCAACCCCTCCACACCGATCCTCCCACTTCTTGTTTCCAAGAAACATTTCCAGCTGGAAAATCTTAGAAGCTGGAAAAACAAGGATCCCAAGGGGAAAAGTATGAGATGTTCTTAACTAAAGAAGCATAAAATAAAACAAAACATAAATGAAAGTGACAAATGGAGGAGAGAAGTCTGGAGGATTTACAGTTGGATTCTGTTGCTGCAACAGATTCCACGTAACAACTAAAATAACATCAACTGGTCTGAAACCAAGGTGTTTCGGGAGCAGCGCATCTAAAAGCAACATTAAGCAGATGTCTCACCGAGCCCTCTTGGTCTCCTCCCAAAATGACTCAATGTGTGCTACTTTTTACCTCATCATCACTTTCCTGTTGCAGCTCAAAGAGGCCTCTCTCAGGAGGCCGCCAGGGGCAAGCTCAGTGTCCCCACAGACAGCCCAGGATGTCTTGCCCAGGACCCACAGGGCAGAGCCCACTTTAGGAAGTGGCTTTGTTGAAGTTGCCCCGCAGACTCGGGGGCCCTACCAGTCTCCCAGATGTCTGCAGGACCCAGTGGCCAAAGTTTCATGGTCATTCCCCATTTAGGACACTACATAAGAATAGCTGTCCTTTTGCATTAGAATTCATCCTGAAAAGTCCTCATGGAAAGACAGTGGATTCTGGTGTATCTGTGTTTGTGGGTGAACCCTCTCAACACACCAGGTCTGTGCCAGAGATGTCAAGTTGTCCAGACAATTATATATCCTGCCTAATGGTTGATAATTACACCGTTACTGGGATTGCCAAGAGAAAACAATGATTAAGACCATTTGCAGCCCGCACACACAAATCCTTCCTTTCCCTTCCTGAGCAGGCCTTGCCTTGGCCTTCGTGGTATCCATGGCAACCAAACAAGAAGCCCTACCTTTCATCAAGGCAATTGCAATAATAATCAGGAGATATACGTTGTGCTGGGGGTGGGGGCTCAGCAGTGTGTACCTCTCAGGAGGAATGACTCAGCTGCAAAGTCACACTGGATAGAAAAAAGCCACCAGGGTTCCAGAGCGAGGGGCTGCCTTCGATGTGGGTAAAAGCTGGACAGTGAACAGAGGAAGCTGCACTGGGCCTGTGTATTGTGGATATTCAGGAGGCAAAGTCTGTGCAAAGGGAGGAAGTGCAAGGCCTGTGCTGTGTCAGTAACATGGCAGATGGGTATCAGCTCCCTCACGTTTGTCCTTTCCAACCTGATCCTACCTCAGTCCACATGGAGCGGGCATCCCCTTCCCAGGAGCGCTGTGGACCCCACAGCGACAGGGACCCTGGAAGACAAAGTGCCCACAGGAGACCACTCTCGGAGGAGGAGCAGGGTGGGGGCGGGGGTCCTGGGGTCCCTCTGTGCTTTGTCAGAGCTGTGGGGCCAGGAACTGAGGGAATGGGCCGCTTCTTGGTTGGGACACAGCTCCACACTGAATGGCTGGAATTTAAAGAGGCCGCCTGCAGGCGTGGCCCAAAGCCCAGGCCCCGGGAGTGGCTCTCAGAAGGCAGGCATTGGCCTTCAAGTGGCATTTTGTCCCTTTCTGGCAGCAAGAATCCTTCCCTGTTTCCTGGTGACTGCTGGAGCTGTGCCAGACTCCTACTAACCCATAGGAGGTGTTCATTCTAAAGCTGCACACTCACCCAGGGTTTACCCAGCCCCGTGCTAAGCTGTTTGTCACTAGGGGCTGTTGTAGCAGGGCTGCCCAGGGTTTGCATCTGCAAGGCTGCGTGGGGATGGGCCTTCTCCCCTTGGGTAGCCTGGGGGAGGTGTCCTGTCCTCCAAGAGCACAGACTGAGCACAGTGGGGAGCAGGGGTGGCCAGGCCCAGGAGAGACGCTAAGTGGAAGGAGTCACTGTCCTCGCAGAAAAAGGGTCTTTCCTGTCCCAGGTGAGGAAGGCCTTGGCAGCGGCTCTGAAGGGAAGGGCATCACACCGGGATGGGGTACAGAGCAAAGCGCCCAGGGAGGCTCGCAGTGATGAACGCGGAGCAACACCGCCATGACCAACCCCGAACACTAGCGCACTCTCACCCCTGGCCTCCCTGTGTGCCTTCCTCTTGAGTCTTTATTCCTCTTCTGAAAAAAAGCGTCTCCCTGCTGTAACACCATGCTCTTCCTAGGGTTCCAGGGCAGGGGCACAGAGCAGCGCCTGCCTGTCCTGCACCCAAGGTACAGCAAAGCCAAGGGGGCCCCCCCAACTCACGAGGGAGGGGCTCTGAGGCAGGGGCGCTGAGGACACTGCCAGCTCTGGCCCTGTGTGTGGCTGCCCCTTGTTTCCCACGCACTTCAACATAAATCATTTTGTGCGGGCCCCACGGAGGCCACTGAGCAGGGTGGGGCAGGCCCCCGTCCGGCTCTGCTTGACACCCGAGACAGCTGCGCTCCGCGGGGTGAGTGCCTGGACCACAGGCACCATGCAGTCCACAGCAGAAACCCAGACCCTGCTCTGCCTCCAGACCCACAGCCTTCCCACATGTTTGCTCCCGTGGTCCTGCATGGGCCGCAGCCTGTACCTCCGAGAGCGTGTGCTGGGGTGGGGCCAGCAGGGCTGTGGCAGGAGAAATGCATAGCGGGAGGACGTGGTGTACCTACCGGGCACTGGGGTGGGGATGGCCTTGCCAAAGCCAGCACTGAAAAGGACCAGGCACTCACAGCCCAGCACCTCGCTACGCAAGGGTGAAGCTGGTACCTGGGAACAGCAAGAGCTGGCCCAGTCAGGACCCAGCAGCCGTCAGACGTGTCTGAGACATAGCTCCTTCCCCAGTCTCTGCCTCTTCGAGTTCCAGATAAACTTGCCAAGGCTTCTCAGGGACAGGAAGGGCCCTGAGGCTCACCACAGGCGATTAAGGCTCAGAGTGGTTACCAGCTTCCCCCAGCCCCTGTTGGGACAGGCAGAAAACTGCTGCGAACTGCTAACAACTAGGACCTTATTCCTACCTTAGCAAAGGAAACGGAAAAGGAAAAAACCACCGCAGAGTTTACATCTGCCTCATTTTTTTGCCTTGACAGTGATACTGGGCCTTTGCACTGAGCTACACTTCCTGCCCTTTTTTATTTTTTATTTTGAGGCAGGATCTCATTAAGTTACTAATTTGTCTGGGCTGGGCTTAAACTTGCAACCCTCCTGCCTCAGCTCCCAGAGCACTGGGATTATTGGTGTGCACCACCACATCCAGCTCCCGCCTGCCTTTTATGCATGGGGGGGGGGGCACGGACACAGGCCGGCTGGGAAGGGAGCTCTTTTCTTTATGATACATTGGGGTACGGCCCCAGGCAGGGGTGGGTACTCACCATGATGCCAGTGAGAAGGCAGACACCTTTCCCACAGTATGTGTGGGGCACCATATCCCCGTAACCAATGGAAAGGAATGTGATGGAGATGAGCCACATGGCACCCAGAAAGTTACTGGTGACGTCCTGCTGGTCGTGATACCTGCCAAGCGGAAGACAGGAGTTAGCCAGTGCAGCTGCTGTTGCCCCAGGGAGGGGCTGTGGACAAACCTAGAGGGGGAAGGAAATGGGGGCTTTTGCTGAAGAGGATGCAGCAGTAATGGTAGCACACAGAGATAGCTTCCTTCCTTTTTTTTCCCCTCCCTCCCTTTTCTTTCTTTCCTTCCTTCCTTTTTTCCTTCCTTTGTTCTTTCCTTCATGTCTTTCTTTCTTTTTGTAGTATTGGGGATTGAACCCAGGGCCTTCATACTGAGACACTTCCCCAGCCTTCTTTTATTGTGAGACAGGGTCTCAATAAGTCACTAAGTTTTCCAGGTTGCACTTGAACTACTGATCCTCCTGCCTCAGCCTCCCAGAGTGCTGGGATTGCAGGTGTGTGCCACCACATCTAGCTCACATACAGATTTCTTTAGAGGAGTGAAGGTGACATGGCTGTGCCAATCCAGGACCTGCCTCCAGCACTCCCCGTCCTGCCAGGCTTCTGCCACAAACTGGGTCCCAAAGGGAAAAAGTGTTGTCGTGATTTGCCCCATGTCATAGACATCCTTTCAGTGTTGGTAGGACAGCTTTGGATGAAATCATTCAGTAATGAAATTTAAATTCTCCCTTCTAAGCCAAAAGTCTAAATGTATATGGGGATGATTAATCTGAAATCGCAAGCTCCTCAACAGGAAACTAAAAAAAAAAAAAAAAAAAAAAAGAAAAATCACGGAACACATTTAAGAAAGCTGATGGGCCTGAGCTGGCCTCTCCCACATGTCTGCAGGGAGACGGAGCGGCCGAGCTGTCTCAGCACTGTCCAGAGGGAGCTCCGGGAACCATAGTTGCCCAGTCTCCTCTCCTCAGCTGGACAGAGTCTGTGGCTGCCCCAGTCCGGGAGGGACCCGTGGGAATCGTGTCATCACCGGTTCCTCTGCCTCGATCCCCTTTCTCACCTTTCCCCACCTTGGGGTTCACCCAGGGGGAGGGGTGCCAAGATGCAGACATCGGCAGTGAGTGGGCAGATGAGGCACTTGGTATCACAAGGAGACAGCGATGACCTCAACCCCAGCTACAGGGGTAGACAGTGAAGGAGCTGTCCAAAGTTCAGAGGTCACTGGTGCTGCGGTCTGAAGAGGTGCGACCTTGGGTGAAGAGGTCACAAGGGCGCCTCCTCTTGGGAGTAGGATTAAGGCCCTTAGGTGTATGTACGTATGTATGTATGTATGTATTTGGTTTTGTTAAATTGCCCAGACTGGCCTCCAACCCGTTACCCTCCTGCCTCTGCCTGTCCAGTAGCTGGGGTTGATTACAGGCGTGTGCCACCGTGCCTGGTTTACAGCCCCTTTGTATTGCAAGAAGCACCTTTATTAGTGTGACAGTGATGTTCCTTGGGGACTGTGGCACACGCAGACAGCGAATCTTGATCGCTGCTAATCTCTTTAAGCCCCTCACCGGCTCCTCCCTCTGATTCCATTCCCATCTCCAAAAGTCTGCCTGTTTTCTCTCATTGCTCTTTTATTCAGTTATTTATTTATATTTTAGAATTCCCATACAAGAGAAATCATACAATATTTAACTTCTGAGCCTCGCATTTCGCTTAGCATTAAGTTCCATCCGTATTCCTGCAAAGACATGATTTCCTTCTTATTTATGGCTGAATAATACTCCATTGTGTATAAATAGCACATTTTCTTTATCCATTTGTCTGTTGATAGGCACCTAGGCTGTTCCCAGAGCCTAGCTATTATGAATTTCACTGCTCCAAACGTGCATATGCATCTATCACTATAGTAGATTGCCTTTAATTCTTTCGGGAATATACCCAGGAGAGGTATAGCTGGTCTAATGAAAGTGCTATTTTTAGTGTGCTGAGGAATCTCCATACTGATTTCCATAGTGGTTTACTAGACATTCCCACGAATAACATGGAAATTCCTTCCCTCCCACGTCCTCACCAGCATTTGCTATGAACTTTTTCTTATCCGTGTGTGTCTGCAGTACATATGTGCCGCTTTCTTCGTGTGGAGCTGGTGCATGTACACAGTACAAGTCGATTCCTTTTTTTCTCCCCTTCCCCTCCTCTCCCTCTCCCCTCCCTCTATCTCTCTCTCCCTTTCTCATTTGAGAAAGATCTATCTCCCTAGTTCCTATGATCTATCTTTTATTTTGCCCTTTATTTATACTTTGGCTTTCTCATATAAGAGAAACCATGCAATATTTAAACGTGTGTGTAGCTTATTTCACTTAACTTTAAGGTCTCCAGGTGCGTCCATTTTCCTACAGACGACTCAAGTTTATCTTTCTTTACGGTAGAGTAGCACTGCATTGTGTAAACACCACATTTCATTATCCGTTCTCTTGATGGACAGACAGGCTGCTACTAAGACTTAGCTGTTCTGAATTGTGCTTCTGTGAACACGGGTATGCATGGATCACCGTGAACAATGTCTTTAACCCTTTGGGGACAATACATAGAAGGGGAATAGCTGGGTCAAATGGAATGTCTAGTTTTAGTGTTTTGAAGAGTCTCCATACTGACTTTCATAGAGATTGTACCAGTTTGCACTCCCACCAACAATGTAAAAGGGTCCCTTTTCCCCTCACAACCTCTCCAGTATCTGTTGTTATTTCATTTCTTGATGATGGCCACTCTTTCTGGAGTAAGATGAAATCTCAGTGCTGTTTTAATTTTCATTTCTCTAGTTACTAGCAATGTTGGACATTTCTTTACGGCCCTTTTCAAAGAGGTTTCCTGTGGCCGTGTGCTTTGTTTGCCCTCCACCACAGGGCTCCCCGTTGGAAGAGGACATTGCACCTGCTGGCACCTTGATCCCACACTCCCAACCTGCAGAACTGTGAAGAATAAACTTCCCTTCTTTATAAGCTCTCTAGTCGGCGGTATTCTGAGACAGCACCATCAGCAAGCAAGACAGCTCCACAGAGGAGCTAGGCAGCACTGTCAGGGCCAAGAGGAGATGGTCCTGGCAGAGAGCATGCCCTTGTGAGAGCCCCAGCCCAACACAGGGTGGCCCAACTGCTGCCTGGGGTGCAGGGCTCAGGACAGGGCTCTCTGACAGGAGCTGATCAGATGACACATAATGGGCTGCATTTATCCTGGAGGGTCACCACTCCTTGGAAAAAGCCCCAGCTCCTGGTCAACCTCGGGAGGCCCCTGAGTGGGGAGGTTGAGGCAGGGCTGGATAGAGCAGAACGCAGTTCAGGACCTTCCTCTACAGAATGTGGTTCCCCGGAGGGGACGTGAACTCACACATGTGGCGTGCTTGGAACAGGCCTGGCACTCAGGCCCTCAGTAAGTACTGGCTACTCTCATCAGTGTCCTCGTGCCCCTCGGGGTGCTGCTTCCCTTCCTTGTCCCCAGGCTAGGTGGGCAGGGACAGCTCCAGGGCGTGTACCTGAGATGGACCTGGTGGGAAAGGAGGTGGGGGTCACCCACCTTGGGAAACACCAGGAATCTATGATGGGATCCAATTTATCAAGCACCAACTCTGTGGCTGATGTTTTGAGCACAAAAAACACTCTAATTCTCATCACATCCTTTAAAGTATCCCATAGAAAGTTCAGAGATATTGAGCGACTTGCCCAAGGACACAGAGGAAGTAGCCAGGCTCCTTTCATTGCTCCACTAGCATTGGAGAAGCAAGAGTGATTTAAACGTATCTCGGGGGAAGACGGGGCAGTTTCAGTGAGAGGAATTGTTGTGGTTCAATCTCAAACGTCCTCCAAAAGGCCCCAGTGTTCAGAGGCCCGGCCTTTGGGAGGTGATTGGCTTATGGGGCACTGACCTCATTAGCAGATTCATCCACTGATGCGTACATAGCCGAACGTGTTGTTGGGAGGTAGCCCTGGTTGGAGGTGGTTACTGGGGATGGGACCATGGGTGTTTTTGTCCCTGGGCCCTTCCTTCTTGCCTCTTCCTGCCCTCCCTGCTTCCTAGCTGCCTTGGCTGAGTCACTTTCCTCTGCTACACCCTCTTGCCATGCTTTCTGCCTTGCAGCTGGCCACCCATGCACTAAAACCTCTGAAACTGTGACTCAAAATAAAACCTTTCTCCTTTAAATTGTATGTGTCAGGTACTTGGTTCTAGTGATGAAAAGCTAACAATACAGAGGACAGCTGGGCTCCAGTAATAGGCAATGAGGTAGCTTTGGAGACTGGTGAGTTCCAATGTTGGAGGGCCTGGAATTCTAAAATTAGAAGCTTGATTTTAGTCTTAGAGACCTTGGAAGTGATTCTAGGTTCCTGAGCAGAGGAATGGAAAGGTGGCATGGCTCGTGGGGAAGAATGGTCTACCGGGGGTGAGCCAACCTAGCAGGACAGTGAAGGCAGGACGGAGGCAGGTGGCAACTGATGCCACGCAAGCCTGGCCTTCATCATCCGTGGGTCATCCAGCCCCGTGTGCATCCTTGACCAGCAATGAGAGGGGGTGGTGGTCATCTTTTTGTCACCGTCTACATGAAGGTAATGGTGCCTGGGACTTGTGCGACAGCTGAAAAAGCAGCCATCCCCTCCCCAAAGTGCTGCCGGGACAGTGGACTTACCCACCCTCCCCTCTCTGCTCTACCCTGGAGACCTGGTTCTCCCTCTGACTGTCCTTGAAAAGCACGAGCTGGGGTGCCCAGCCCCTGGCACTGAGACTGCCATGGCTCTGCCCCTGTACGTCAGCCCCATCCCGGTCTGGTATGGCCTTGGACAGGCCACTGCCTACCCGTCCTGCTCGCCTGCCCTGTCAGGTCCTTGGGCCGTGTGGTCCCTGTTCCTGAATGCCAGTGGCACGGTGACTCTGGCTCTCGGGCTCTGCACTGGAGAATCAGGCTTTGGAGTCTATGACTCAGGAAGACTTAGTAGCTAATGCAGACTCAGGAGGGAGAAGACCTGGGGGCAGCCCAGGCCGCAAGCCAGCGGCACATGTACAAACGCAGGGTCAAATGCAGGGTCATCGGCTCATGGGACTGCTTCCTCCGGGAACGAGACTTGGTCAGG